GTGCTGGGGAGGTGGGAGGGCGGCGGTCCCTGAGCCCGGCACGTCCCAGGAGCAGGACAGGAAGGCACGGCCGCCCGGGCAGGATGGCTCCCGGGAAGAGCCGGTGATGCCTCGAGGCTCCGATGGCACGGGCGGGCTCGGCTGAGGAAGGGGCGGGCGGTGGGACAGGGCAGGCGGAGGACTGGCAGCACCCTCCCACAGCACCCGGTGAGGTGGGTCCACGGTGCGGTGCGGTTGTCCCCGTGGACAGGGTGCGACTCCATCAGCAGCCCCCTTCGGGCACCGGGCAGGACCCCGGCACTGCGGGCCCTGGGGCGGCCGGGCAGGCAGCACTGCCTGGGAAGGGGTGCTGAGCTGCCCCCAGCCCGCTCAGAGCAGGGCCCCCCAAAGCGCGCCCCAGCTGCCCTCCCTGTTCCCGTCACCCTCCGTCACTGCCCCAGAAAACTTCCCTACTGCTCTCCCTCCCCAAAACAGCGCCGGCCTCAGCCTGTCCCACGAGACACCACCCTGCAGACGCTCCCCGGCCCCGCCAAGATCCCACCCCCAGCCCCAGCCTCTCCCGGCACTCTGCAGTCCCTGCCCCAGCAGACACACAACTCCTCCGCCACCCTCTCCAGACACCGTGTCCCGCACTCTGCCAGTAAAACCAGTCCTTTCTCCCGGGCGCTCCCTGGGGCCCCCGGCAGCCGCTCCCTCCGCAGCCGGTGCCGCTCTCCGGGTGCTCCCTGCGGGTGCAGACGTGCGGATTGTCCCGCGGGCCGTGAGGCAGCAGCACCGCCGAGTGTGCGAGGAATGGCCCCGTGCGGGGGCTCCCGTGGCTGTGCCGGGGCTCCCGTGGGTGGCCGTGGCTGTGCGGGGCCGTGGCTGTGCCGGGATTCCCGTGGGTGACCGTGGCTGTGCTGGGGTGACAGTGGGTGGCCGTGGCTGTGCGGGGCCGTGGCTGTGCGGGGCCGTGGCTGTGCTGGGATTCCCGTGGGTGGCCGTGGCTGTGCCGGGATTCCCGTGTGTG